GTCTGAGAAGTCAGGTGGCTAGAGGGTGAGAAGAGAAGGTGGACTTAGAAGAGGAAGAAGAAGAACTCTCTCTCTCTCTGTGTCCAGTACTAACCTGTGAAGTTGGCGCCTTGATGCAGGTACCACGAAGATGGAGCTGGAGCGATGGCGCCACAGGTAAGTAACACTGGCCTCCGCCAGTCTCTCTCCCACTCTACGATCTACTACCTACCAGCGCCCAGCGCTGAAGACTACAGCTACAGATATGGCGCCCAGCGCCGAAGACTACAGCTAGCGCTACCACTACTGCCTAGCGCTGAAGACCACTGCAGCGCTCCTCCTGAGTGCTGCGGCCGAATCCTGAAGACTACTCGTGCCTACTGAACACTACCTACCCGTGAAGTGCATGGGAACCTCCTATGTACTACGGGTGTGCCTCTTGAGCCTGCCGAAGGGAGGCAGGGGCTGCAGCTGCAGCTCCTGCTCGAGCACGTGAGGAACAGGCTATTTTGGGCCTGTTCCGCATCCCTGTTTCCGTGCCTGAGTCTTAGGGGCAGGTCGAAACAATGAGGGCCTGAAAATGGCCCTCCGTTTCAGGCTTAAAACTCTGGGTCTGAAAAGACCCAGAAATAGGCTGAAACGAGGTAGGGCCTGCAGGCCCTCGTTTTTCAGCATCCAGGCTGAAATGAACGGGGCCTGTAAGCCCTAAGTTTTAGGCTTTTAGGCTGAATGTCCGGGACGGGCCCTGCAGGGCCCGTGTGACTACGCAGTATGCCACAGCTACCCACCCCAGCTCCGACCATCGTTGGCCAGATTGCAGCCATCGGTCAAGTTTGCAGATTGCCTTCCTCCCTCAGCAATCCCAGACCTCTATACAAAGCCTCAAGCGCCTACTCAAGCAGGTTACAGGGCACCCCCCCAGCGATGGCCAGCGTCATTCTGGGGCCAACTCAATCTGGCCATTACACAAAAAGATTCAATAAGGAAATTAGCTAATCTAGAATGTAAACTAGAAATCTAGGATCTGATAATATCAGAACCCTGATCAGCCAAACTTTCTGATGATGAAATTTGACGCGTACCCTGAGATGATCACAAAGATAATGGATAACGATGACAATGCTGATGATTATTCCTCTCCACCCCTCCCCTTCTTCCATGTACTCTCCTCCTCTCCCCTCATTTCCTCTTCTCCTCTTGCTGCCTCCGCTGAGACGAACCCCGCTATCAGCATGAAGTTCCTATCAGCCCCAACGAGAGATAGAACCTTCCCATTCCCTTCTACCTTGAGGTAGAGAGTTCCCCCAAAAGGTGTACCTCAAAACTAACACTCTGACCTAGTCTGCCTCCGCCAGGAGATAATGCGCCCCCATACATATCTCCCAGCCCCAGCCTAGGTCAGCTCCCATCATCTGCGTCTACTCCCTGGAGGGCAATCACCTCCCACCTTGTGTTACCCCTGCGGAGTAGCGCTCCCTTCCTGACCAACCTACCTACCAACTAGACCATAACCTATCTAGGCGAAAATAATATAACCACCAACACAAAGATAAGTACTGATTGATGAAAAAATGAATAAAGAAACCGTGATGATGATGATGATGATGATGATGATGATGATGATAAAGATTCAGATTGGTAGATGATGATGATAATGAAATAAAATTGGCGAAAAAAAGTAAGGAACGTCTGACTTGTAATGCCCTAATGGCATCGGTGTGAAAGATTGACAACTCACTATTGCTGTTATAGTAATGAAAATGGAAGATGACAATGATTACAATTTGACAGAGAAGTCTGAATGGTGATCACGACGAAGATAAGAAAGGGAAATGGTGAGGATGACAACCATCAACAGTGAAATGCAGATGGCGACCAGTGGCAAAACAAGACGCGGGTGACGCGAATGACAAGCGGCTTTGATGTGTGAAGGCAACCAGCGGCAATGTCGATGATAAACCAACGCTTCGGATGAAAAAACCTGCACACGAAAAAAAAAAAAAAAAAAGAACAAAAGACTGAAGAAGAGCTCCGTTGATGATGATCTCACCGACGATCCTCCTGCTGTCATGATGCTCCAAGCTGGTCCGACAGTCTCCACACTTCGGTTCCACGGGGCTGACTCCACTTTCTTCCACCGACGTTGACTTTCGTCAACTCGCTCGAGCGCTCCAGCCTCTATAAGGGCATTGGCTATGGAGTACTTGACGTGGAAAGCACAGCGGAAGTGGACAAAAAGCAGATTCCACCACCATTTTCCTTTTTCCACAATGCTTCAGGCCAGCCGCCACGTTAGCCTGTGACGTGGATTGGCCAAGCGCCTCTGCATGCCACGCATGTGTTAAGCGCTATCGCCAGATCCTTCTATCCCCTCACAGCATCTTCATGCCAATGCGTCGCCACACACTAGCTGTCAGCAGCATGCCACGTGTACGAAGCCAGCGCCATGCCATCCGCCAGTCACCAGCGCCTCACTGCTTGCCCGTAGCCAGCGCCTTGCCATCCGTGAGCGACCAGCGCTCGCCTCCTCTCAGGGAGCCAGCGCCTCACCGCCTGTGAACCACCAGCGCCTCGCTACCAGCGCACAACCAGCGCCTCGCCACCGATGGCTGACCAGCACCCTGCCAGCGCCACACCTCCAGCACGCGCGTTGACGTCAGCATGCTCCGCCATTACGTGAGCGCTAACTCGCGCCCTCCTGCTGGAATCTGTCGTACCAACTGTTTCACCTACATCCAACCTACTAGATCCCACTGAACCGTTCTCGTGACCCTACCTCATGTGTATATAGCACGTGAAGGTATGACGGGCCAAGCTGGACAGGCACCCCCCGAAAGTTCCGAGCCATGAAGGTATGACGGGCCAAGCTGGACAGGCACCCCCCGAAAGTCCCGAGCCAGACTCGAACCCGTAATCTATTGCATGTAACCAGACGACTCTACGATGTGTGCAACAGTCGCAAGTGATACAAATGTGTGATATGCCAGACCGGGGAGATCAGCAGAACAACCAAGACCAAGAGCGACAAGCAACCCACGTAGCGTCACTTGAAGACCCAACATCCAACACCATGGACAATCCCTTGGGTGGTGCACATGCAGTGTCTGTGATAGCTTACGTGTGTCAGCCCATATGGGTATGCAAGTGACCATTGGCTATGTAAATGCCCCCTGGTGTCTCTGCACAGAGTTGAGGGGTTTTGAACCCGCAACCTCAGACTGCAATGCACATAGACAACCGGTGCCCTAACCACTGCGCCACAGGGCCCTTGCAGTGGGTCGGATTTCTTAGGGCCATGAAAGACTCGGCATTGGATAGAAGAGGCTGAGAGCCACCTGCCCTTCGATTGTGTTGGCTCATGGCCTTGCTCTGCAGATGTTCTTCGGCTCCCCACCACTCTTTTTTTCCATTTTTTTTTTCCCCCTTTCTTTCGGCCACTGCGGTGGTTCTTAAGGCCCAAAAAAACTCCGCGTTGGATAGAAGAGGCTGGGAGCCACTGGGCCTTTGATTGTGTTGGCTCATGCCGTTGCTCTGCAGATGTCCTTTCGTCCCCCACCACTTCTTTTTCTTTTCATTTCTTTATTTTGTTCCTCTTTAAAAGAGAAACGACGTTTAGATATCATGATCATCCAGCGGCCTAACTCAGTTGGTAAGGCACACAAGTGGCATTCAGAAGGTCCTGGGTTCAATCCCAATTGGCCTCATGTACCTTCCTGGGCAAGCTCGCCCCCGCCACCTAGATATAGCCCGTCGATTCCCCCGAGCGGTATTGAGCAGCAGGCTAGCAGCCCCACATGTGCCCTCGTTAGCATCAGGCTAGCAGCCCCACATGTGCCCTCGTTAGAGGCTTGAACTCGGGATGATTGCCACGGGGGCTCCCGGTTATACTACTATAAATTTACTAATGAGCAGGCTTGAACTCGGGATGATTGCCACGGGGGCTCCCGCCCGAACATTTTGGGGCTCGCGGGCTGACCCCCGAACGTTGGGTCGTTCGGGGAGGGGTTCGGGCCCCGCCAAACCCGATTTCTGGTCCAAAACAATTTATTTATTTTTTTGAATTTTATTTTCTAGATTGCCCACGTCCGAGCGCACCTACCCCTAAAATTTCGCTTTGATCTGTTGAGTAAAAATAATAATAATATTCATAGAAGATAGGGGCGTGAGGTGTTAACCCCCCCTTGATTTTGTCCTTTTTTCTTTTTTTTTGGGAAAAAGTTTTATTTATTTTAAATTATTTATTTATTTATTAAATGGTTGGGGTGGGGTCGCCCCTTCCCTTTGAGTCCCGACCAACCAATCAATCAATCAATTAATCAGTAACATAATATGATTAATATCCCATTTTAATTTATTTTTTGACTTTTTGTCATTTTTCGATTGATTGATTGATTGATTAGTCTATCTACTGGGGGGGGTAGAACCCCCCTGCGCAGGCACACACACACACACACACAACTGCGCTCTCGTTCGTGCCTTTTTTTTCCACTTTTTATCGTTTTTTTTATATTGATTGATTGATTGATCTATTGATTGATTGGGTTGGGGGGGGTCGTCCTCCCCGGCACACACACACACACACATTGTCAAATGGTGGGAGGGGTTCCTGCGATTCGGCAGGCAAACTGCATCCCTGCCCAGTTTTTTTTCTTTCGAATTAAAAAAAAGTGGTTTGAAGAACCCGCCCTCCGCAGCACATTTTCGCATTCGGGCCGAATCTCTGGCTGGGTGGGGGCCGAAAACTTTCAGGGATTCAGCCCCAACCGAACGCCGGCTACCCTGAAAATGACAAATAGAAAAGGCCTGAAACGCTGTCCTATCCAGATTTGACAGGTAGTTGAACTGGTTGGGCCGTAANCCTGGCACGGTAAAGAACGACCAGGGTACCTCCTTTTCGCGCCCCGCGACCCTGCCAGTCGTAGACGTAGATCCATCGGGCGATCCCCTACGTAGAAAAAATCGACGCCCCAGAAAAACGTTGTGTTTTCGCGTTCGGACTGGTGACTACAGAAGTCGAGCGTATTGTACTTGAACGGCCTCTGATTCTAGGGCTGCCCTCTTTGCACTGGTCGTGTCCGCCATAGTCTGTGTGTGTCGTGAGGTCGTCGTGTTGGTCTGTGCTTGACAGAGCAGTCATCATGCCGGCGGCGGCGACGAAGAAGGCGCCCGCGGGGCCCAAGGGCCCCAAGAAGAAGACGGTGACTTTCACCATTGATTGCACCAAGCCGGTCGAAGATGCGATCATGGAGATTGCCTCGTTTGAGAAATACCTAGAGGATAGAATAAAGGTTGGCGGGAAGACTGGAGTTCTGGGCAATCAAATCATTATCTCGCGGGAGAAGTCGAAGATCAACGTCACTTCGGAGAGCTTGATGTCCAAGAGGTACTTGGAAGTATTTGACGAAGAAGTATCTGAAGAAGCACAATGTGCGGGACTGGCTTAGGGTTATTGCATCGAACAAGGACAGGAATGTCTACGGGTTGAAGTAGTTCAACGTTCAAGACAACGAGGCAGAGGAGGAATGAGATGGGTTCTGCGGCTGCATCTGGCTTCGTTTCTGTGTGCTGTTCCTGTGTTCTTTTTCCCGTTCCTTCATGTGTGGTTGGCCCTCTCCTCCTCCCATTGCGTCACTCAATCGGTCGTTCGGTCGTCAATCAATCGGTCGTTCGGCAGATCGATCGGTCGGTCTCTCGGTCTCTCGGTCGGTCGGTGTGAGTGCCGTTGAAACTGATCGTTTCTTCCTGAGGAAATTCGCTGCGACCGATGCAGTGAGTGCCCTTCTATCACGCCTCGTTATCGTGGGACCTTGGCAATGGTCCCATTATCCATGTACCAGGTGCTCTCTCTCTCTCTCTCTCTCTCTCTCTCTCTCTCTCTCTCTCTCTCTCTCTCTCTCTCTTTGTCGCGTGGGCCTCTCTGGCATGTGACCCTCGGTGGCGGCATGGTCTGCGACTCTGCAGTTGTGTTATGGTACTCGGTAGTTCCGCAATTGGGGGCCCCATATCGAGGCAAGGATTTTCTGTCTTTGACGTAAAGAGAACATTGTGAAGGAATTTGTTCGTGATATTTGGTGCTTTTTTCTTGTACTCTTGTACTCTCTTTTGGAGATTTAACTGTCTTCTTTGTCTTCTTGGGAATAGATGGGTATGCTTTTTCCATTTTTCAGTGGTATATCATATCAATCAATAGTTGGGAATTAATTTTTGCGAAAAAAAAAAAAAAAAAAAAAAAAAAAAAAAGAAAGAAAGAAAGAAAGAAAAGAAAAGAAAAGAAAAGAAAAGAAAAGAAAAGGTTGGGCTTGAAAGAATAAGCCTTTTTTTTTAGGCTTTTTCTTTAACAATAATAGTCCTTTGGGATTTTATCTGTGTCTGAACGCATTTTGCTTCCTTGGTCTTCACCCCAACAGAACGCCTGCAAAATTATGGCTGTATGATCCTGTAATCCAGACTGAATGTTGCCACAAATACGGCTATTATAACGACTGGACATTTGGCATAGGCATAGGGATAAAAAAACAGAAGTTGAGAGAAGAATATAGAAAAAAAAAAAAAAGAAGAAGGGGTAAACTATATTCTTCTCTCAATCTTGTTTTTATGTATCAGCCCCACATTACGATGATGCGGGGTGATCAGGTATTGCCAACGGGAAACCGGCGCGCATCTTTGGCCAGTCACTTGCACCCCCCTCTACCCCCCTCTAACCCCACATTAGCGGTGTCTAATGGCCAATATCATTGCTGCATAGCGACCAACAATATTTTCCCAAGGTCCTGCCAATGCTGGCTTGGAGAGCCAACAGGAGATCATCTCTAGCTGGTAGAATACCAAGCTTGCCCAGGCACGTACATCGTGAATAAACAGGGCAAACTCCCGGGTACCACAAGGACATTTCCACCAACAGGCCTAGCTCAGCTCTGTACACCCAATGAAGTGTTGAAATACAGACCCAAGCTCAAATCCGGGTGCGATCAAATGAACAGAATCAAATATTTCTGAATTACCTGGGGTCTTGGGCGACCTTTCCACTGTTTGCAACACTGCATGTCTGCTACCATCTTCACCAGAATAGAACACCCGGTCATTATAGCCGTATTTGGTGCCCTTTTCAGTCCAGATACAGCTATAATAACCGGGCAGCGGGCGTTCTATTCGGGTGAAGACGGTAGTTGAGCAAGACAGGTCCGAGTGTCCCAAGAAGAGGTAGATAAGACAATTAATGAGTGGGTAGCACATATGGAGCTGGGGGAAGATAGAGAGGCTGAGTTGGTGATATCTGCAGAGGCGAGAGAAGCAGCAAGAAGAGAGTTGGAGGAAGAAAGAGAGGCTGCTTCCTGAACTATGTGTCCGGACATTTTGTACCCACCTGACAGTGGTACGGACTGTCTGGGGCCGCTGACGTCCGGATCACCAGACAGTGCGGACCGGTCCAGACACTGGTCCGGAAGACAGTCCCGGAGTGTCCGGTGTCTGGGTCCGCGGTTACCATAGACAAATGCATGGAATATTTTCCATGTTCCTTCACCGGATGCCAGTCCAAGGTTTTCAAGATACCCTGGTACTTTTCTCCATTAGTTCCTTGGTGCAAATATTCCATTTACCCCCCACCAGTACCCCACATCTTTTCCAGTTGCCCCTGTACCCCTTGCAGGCTGAGGTGGCCCTTGCAGGGGCAAAGCGGAAATGGCAATCCTTTTACGCTTCCCCTTCCACAATTTGAGGTCCACGTTCCCTGTGGGTGAGTGGGAGCAACTTGTGCCGCCACCAACCAGACTTCCCCCTTCCCCCTTGCCCCTGCTCTTAATCTGTCTCAGAGTCTCTCTCTCTCTCTCTCTCTCTCTCTCTCTCTCTCTCTCTCTGGATTTCCCTCTCTCTCTCTAGATTTCTCTCTCTCTCTCTCTCTCTCTCTCTCTCTCTCTCTCTCTCTCTCTCTCTCTCTCTCTCTC